AATTAAATATTTGGTTTAGGAACATAAATTAACCCTTAAACTGATAGTTTAATGATTTGATTTTCGAATTTCTATAGGAGTGAAGGATTACAGAAATTGCGTCAAAACTCTTACTACTTCGGTATCACAAAAAAAATTCAAAATGCAAAAGAGCTTGCAGTAAACATCATCACGGTCTGTCAAGCTGTAGAGAGCATACTGTTACCTAGGTTTGTATTTTGACGTTGTCGCGCGTTTTTTTAAAAGTGATTTGGTCACTTTTGGAGTACATCTGATTATCTTAACGTGAATAAACTCTGTATAAACCTCGTCTAGTCTACTATCCCGCCGGTTTTCTAGCCCGTCCAAAGACAGGGAAAAGAGGAAGGGTCGGGCGGGGGGCTAGCAACCCTAGCCCACAAAATCATTTAGACTGCTGCAGAAACTTCAGTGCACTACAAAAATATTAAATATGAAAACTTATTCTTTACTGAAATCGAAGAAGTAAAATGATCTGACCCGGTAAAAGTCTTCAGTAAGATCAAGACCGGATAGGATTCCCTCTGAGACACTGAAAACGGACCCAGAGATCGCTGCAAATGTTCTCACGGCATTATTGCGAAAGGCTTGGAAGGAAGGAAAGGCGTCTACCGATTGGAAGAAAGGCTGAATGCCTTGTCAAGCTGCCAAAGAATGGCAACTTACGCCTCACTCCTCAAAATCTGGCATGAGATAAATGCTCTTTTCCACGCCAAGTAAAACACTAAGTCACATTCTCCTGGAATGTATAAAAGATGCACTGGACGCAAAACTCCACTAGCCGGAACAAGCTGGATTCAGAAAAGGCAATCATGTGCTGATCAAATTTCAATTCTAATCAAAGCATAGAATGCCAGTCAAACCTCTACCTCAACTTTCTTCGTCGACTTCGAAAAAGCCCTCACCAGACAGCACATCGTTGACCGAGAAGTAATTATGGCATGTAGTGCCCAATGTCTTTATCAACCTCATCCAACAGCTGGTTATATGACAATGCCACGTGTCAGATGGTCCACAATGGAAAACTCAGCGTAGCCTTTTCAGTGAACACTGGAGTAAAACAGGGCTACCTGTTATTATAGATGATATTCCTGATTGTGCGTTAGACTGTGAGTCGGAAGACAGGAGTACTCTGCACTGACCGATAACAAGACTCCAGATCTGGATTTCGGAAGTGGATGATTTATGTCTAATGTCACACAAGCTCAGTCTTACAGGCGAAAAACAACAAATTGGCTGAGGAAGCAACCAGCGAAGACAAGACGCCATCCAGGTGATCATAGAGAAGACGGAGGTGATGAAGATAACCAACCAACCAACAGTAACAACAACAACCAGCACCAATCACCATCAACGGGAGAGATTTGACAGGAGCTACTTTCTTTACTTATCTAGGAAGCACGGTTTCAATCATAGGCACATGAAATGGATGTAGATGTCGAAGGCAGAATCGGAAAGTCAAGATACTCCTTCATCAATCTGAAAATAGATTGGAAATCTTCTCCAAAGAGTCAGTCATATGAAGAAGATGTAGACTAAATCCTTTTTAAAGGGTTGATTTTACCTTTTATTCTAATTCTGAATGAAATCTCTGCTGATACTGAGTGACCAGAAGTGATGATGTGCTCTAGAATTGAGCTGTAGTCTGTTCTAAATTCTCCTCTCAACAACCATACTGGTAAGTATGCATGGGTTCGTTTAGACAATATCCTCAATGTAGGTCTTGTGTACTTGGCTCTACAGAAACAAGTGAACTTTTATGGCTTTAATGAACATGGTCTCACCATTGTTCCCTGAGCAGAAACCATGTGAGTTTATTGACTGAAGTAATTTGAACGCTGGTATACTGAGTACCCAGTTTTTATTCAACGATAGACAGAATGATGGAGTAGCAATTGTTCCCCCCTCTTGATGTATTACTCGCCAACTGTCTCATGGTATATGTTTAATCCACTTGCCTCCAATCAACAACTAATCATTTCAAAGTTTACAAAGCGGTACATGGACAATAGCTTTATTATTATCGATAAAAAATACTACGCTAAGTAAAATCCTGGGGATCTTAAACATTGCGCTTAGATCAATCAGCCGCAGATTGCAAACAGATGGAACTCTATAAACATTATTCACAGCAAGACAAAATGGAATAGATAACTGAAGAACTTTCAAAGTTATGTCTCAATTAGCATCTCTTCGATGAGAATCTAGTAATCCACGCTAAATGTCAGCATTATTCACTTATGCTTCCATCGTGTTTGTGAAATGCTGCGATGACAAATACTGTCAAAAAAAATCTGTGAATTATTCTGCATCCACCATCCGCAACTACTGAATAGAAATATGAACTGCTTCACGTAGCTGACCCTAAATATCCAAGTGATGTGATAAATGAGACAATACCACTTGAGAAACTCACTAGATGTTATTTGTTGACAAAAGCACTCACATAACTGTTACACATTACACTATATTCTTCAGAAATTGACTAATTGCACAAAATTCTATTGGTAGAGGCGTTTAAGTACTGTTAATTGCTTTTCTGTCTGTCGTTTATCATTTTTTTGTGTTCAACTTTATACTACATATCACTAGTAAGCACTGTGGTGTGTGTAACTTCGTAACCATGATTCTGTTTGCTACTGAAGTTTACTTCAATGCATTAATACTCTATTGGATGCATATTAAGCATTTCCTTATAGTTGAACATTATCTGCTGTATATGGCTTACTTATATGCCCCTTTATTGTCGAGAATTGTTCACGCGCATACCTTTATTCTATGCCTGGCTTTCGCAAGCTGTTACAATCTACACATCGGTTGGCCGCCTCTGACACAGCTTTGTTTGTTATTTATTGACGCATACTAACTGTGCTTTTTTGACGACATCTAACCACAAGACACCTCACCACCACTTGAGGCTTGCATATTATATTGCATTACTTTATGTGTAATATAGTAGCGTATTATAAAGCGAACCTGTGTATTTTGGGATTTTACGCGTCACTCTATGCGTGGTTTAACTAATCGTTTAGATTATCGCCTCGGATTTCTTAAAAGAAGGCCATAGAGATACAGTGTATGAAAAGTTACAAAGCCAGCAGCTTTCTTCAATAGCAAGATCTACTCCTTTTAGGCGAAATATCCTGAATCTATGCAGCATCTCGTCCGCTAATAGTAAGAATAATGGCGCTCCTGATGTTATTACAACTTAGATGACGTTCCCTTGATTGTAACTTTAATTTCTACAATTGTAGTAACACAAACATTTCATTTCACATAATTGGCTTCCTGCAACAAATAAATTTATGATTGCAGATACTTATCTGTTGTCTTTCTAAAGAACAGTTCCCATAGTGTTTATCCAAGATTGTTACTCTAGCTATGGTCAGATTTTTATCAGTCTTGCTGACAGGATACTCGTTCGTTAATTAAATGTGACGGGGTTCACCAGTATCTTAAGTTTACACATTATTCAAATTGTAGTATCCTAGGGTTTATAGAAATTATATACATATATACCTACATAATTCCAAGCCAATCTGAAGTTGTATTATGTAGTTCGTAGGCATTCATTATATTTCTAGACCTAAAGGCGGAATTCGATTCTGTCGACCGGGAGGTTCTCTGAAGATGCTTGGATGTAAAGGGAATCCCGAGAAAATACATTGCAGTGATCAACGAACTCTACTCAAACTCATCCAAGGTGAGGGTTTACGGCGAATTGTCATCTGAAGTGGTGACGACTAGTGGTGTCCGTCAGGGATGCCCATTATCCCCATTTCTATTCAACTTCATCATTGATATACTAATGGACTTAACTCTAACTGACTTAAGCAAATCAGGGATTGACTTCCTACCAGGGAATAATCTCGTTGACCTAGAATATGCAGACGATATAGTCCTCCCACCTGGGTGAAGACGCTGACAAAGTGCAGAGTCTTCTGAACACCTTGAGCTGCAATCTACGAATGTTTGGCATGCGATTCGCTCCTGGTGTCAAATATAAGATAATTTTACAGGACTGGACTACACTGGCTCCTAGTTTAGAAATAGGGAGTCTAGTGGTAGAGCGTGTTGACTGCTTCACTTACTTGGGGAGTACCATCAGCCCCAACGGGTTGATCTCTGACGAAATCTCAGCTGGGTACGGATACAGAGGGCTAGTTTCGCATATGCCAGTTTACGCCATCTCTAGAGTAGACGAGATATTCAACTATCGACCAAAGGGTGGGTGTACTGCCATCTTTGCGCTTCGACCTTCTTTATGGCTGTGAGCGAGACCTAGCCACTGAGAGTGGAAGACATGAACAGATTAGCTGTCTTTGATCGCGGGTGCCTGCGTTCTATCTCCCGTGTAAAGTGGCATAATAAGGTGAGCAATATTGAGGTTAGGCATCGGTCGAGTTCTAGGTAAACAGGGGAAATCAATCGACGAGGTTGTGAAGTTACATCGACTAAGATGGTTAGGACATGTGTTAAGTATGGCTAGTCATCGCCTTCCTCGACAATCGGCAATGTTAGCTGACATAGGATCAGGTTTGAAAAGAGCTAGTAGTGGTCAAACTAAAACACGGCTTCATCAGTAAATCAAGTCTATAACAGTAAGTTTAAACCAATCACGTAGGAAGGTGTAGACTTCCAGGTTGGGGTCCTCGGGACGGTAAAAACCAATGGTTGGAAACAATGGGTCGTTCTTAACAGCTGGTGCAGATGCGTCCACTCCTTGTGACTTGTAATATTCAATAAAACTATATCGTTCTCCGATATTACTCTCCTTCTTGCCTCATATCTCTGTTTACTGTCTCTATTATGCCTTTCTGGTACTTTCTTTTCTTACTTTGTGTGCTACATGGCGTGTGGCGACTTGAACCGCCTCACATCGGTGCAAAGTTCTATGTCGAAAACAGACAGAGAGACAGTTCGTAAAATGCTGTCACCAAGAAGAAAATACAGTAGGTAAATTAGGGAAAAATTTACAAACTTCATAGAACACAACACGAACTAAGGAGAAGAATAATTTCAGAGGGGAAAAAATTTATTCTTCATCTAATTCTAATATAGGAAATGTAGTTAAGGGAACAGTTGATGAGGTATAATGTGTCCTATGAGGAATACTACTGTTACTACTGCTACTATCAGCTTCATCACCTTCTGGAATTATTCTCAAGATTTCTTCTTCTTCTTTTGTTGTTGTTGTTGCTGCTGCTGTACTAGAGATGTCGGAGGAAATGACAACGTTCGACTCAAGATTTTTCTTTGAAAGACTTCCAAATTGATTAAAATCAACATTGTTGTTGGAATCTGGGGTATTAAGGGTGGGACAGTTGTGAAATACGCTGTCATGAAGATGTTCTGAAGGATTTGTATTATCACATATTTCAGGCACTAAAATATTTGTAGAGAAAAACAAACAAATAAACACGAAATAAAATGAGAGATTGTTTATTCAGCAAAGATCTTTGAAGAGAAGTATAAAAGAACAAAATATGCCCACCAAAATAAAGAAGTTATTAAGTAATCATCTTACCACGGCTATGCTTATTGTCTAATTCATTTTTAGAAGATGAAGAGGACCCATTTTCGAATTTACACGTGTTACTTTTAGAGTCATTCAATAATTCACCATCTTTTTTCGTGGATCTTCTTCTTTTATTGTCTGAATGATTTGAATTCCCATCGTTTGTATGTTGATGGTGACCGGTCTGCCGAGTGACTTTCTTTCTGTGAATGAAAAGTCAATAATAATTAAGACTACAATGCAGTCTATACACATCAAAACGAAAACTTTTACAGAGAATATGACAATGAATATATATATATGTGTGGGTTAATGACAAATTCTGACTTGACCTACCTAGGTAGCTGAACCATAAGTGTCTCTCTGAACAAAGTAGAGATTACGTTCTTAGATGTTTGGAGGCGATCGCAAGGAAGCCTTCCACATAGGTGTTGTGTTTGTTGGCACTTGTCAGTCAGCAATTTGAGCTCGCAATCTATCTCCGGTAGGGCTATATTAGATAATTTGATTGGGTAGTGACTGGTGTTGTGCGTCTAGTCTTATGTTTGCCGCAGACTGAATCTTATGAGAAAGGACTGAAGATAGTCCCTGCTGACTGGTAAGTGCCGATAAGCACGATACCTAGGTCGAAGGCATGATTTCGATTACCTTCAACTATCTTATAGAAACAATTTACAGTGCACCGTGATGGCAAGCCACCTAACATAGTGGCCACATTGCAAACTTCACTGATAGTGTGATGATGCTGTGATACAGACCATGTGTTCTAACGGAATATTACTCTCACATATTCCAACAGTTCAATATAGCATTAGCAACAGAATATGATGGGTCTGTGTGAACATTCCATTTCATATCGTTTGATGAAAACCAAAATCACACTGCAAGGATATAAATAGTTGTTCGATCGCTTGAAAATATATTTTGGCTTCAGCGTCTTGCCTTCTGTTGTTACACTTGGTGTGGCTGCCTGCCGACAATTGCAAAGCTTATGCCCTGCAGTTTTTGAAGGAGAGATATGGATCTTCTGGCAGCACTTTGAGGCTGTTGTGCAGTTGAATGACATTCAAGATTTGTCAGCGATGAGGCTGTCACTTGGAACACTGGTGGGAGGTCGGACGACGGTAGCATGTGATAGAGTGAAGCGAAACACCGGTGAATACGCACCAGGGTCATGCAAACTGCTTCCAAAGTGAGGACTATATATATATATATATATATATATATATATATATAGTCGCCATGAGACGGGATCCCGTATATACAATCAGAAATGCAAACAAAGAGAAGCGGATGAACGTCAGCGAGCCCCACCGCAGCAAGAAAAGCTAACGAAACCGCCAGCACCAAGAAGATCAAACCGACTTCAGTCGAAAGTTTTTGATGGGGGAGGGGAGACAAGTGTGGTGGTGTGCTACAGAGAATGTGTCCAGCGGAATATTATATTCACATATTCTCTCAGTTCAATACAGCATTAGCAACAAGATACTGTATGTATATTTGAACATTCTATTTCATGTCGTCTAAGGTAAACCGAAATCGCACGTTCAATGATTGGTTAGAGTATATAAAACTGTGTATATATAAATAGCGGTGTGATCACTTGAAAATATACCTTGGCTTCCGTGTCTCACCTTCTGTTGTTACAATAGAATTCAGTCTACACCAAACAAAGGACTAGACGACTAATGACACTAGTTACTGACTACCTATTATCCAATCAAAGAGATTATGTTCCCCGTATAATTAAATCTTATTCAATCGAACAAAACATGGATAATAATAATAATAACAATGATAATAATGTGAAGTATTAAAGCCACACTCACCGTATAATGCACAAAGCATTATGTAATGCTTCTACAGTGTCTTCAGGCGAAAAACCAACATGTTGATTACGCTTCGAGAAACTAACAGATCTCAGTCGTTGATAACCATCGGTACCTACTACTGACAATTTGTCAGTGGATAAGGATTGTCGAAGACATATGTCTCTTTCGGATAATATAGTATCTTGATTGTCACCAGCTAGTCCAGAACCACCACGCAAATTACTCGTATCCAAAATAGGCACTTCATCTCCACTACATTCTGTGATTTTTTAGTGAATAAAAACAGGGAGATGAAATAAAAAGGAGTAATCACGTAAATGTACAACTGAAGAAATAAAAAGAAAGTCCGATAGACGACTACTAATTCAACATTACTTTATATCATACTCAGGACTTATACACACAAAGTGATCGTCTAAAGGCAATCAATTGTTGTAAATGAACTGTTCCGAATCCAACGGAAAAGTGAATATGGTGCCTATTTGACAATATAGTTAACTTTCTGGTGTCAGGCATACATCAGAAAAAAAACGCATTTGAAAATTTGAGAAAACTTATTACTATCTCAGTGACTTGATGGTGGGTAAAGTTAGATTAGTTCTAAAGGTAAATTGGATAAAACTGGATAAACAACACTTCTGAATTTTTAATTGAATTTAAGATTTTCCCGTCGATTGATTGGACCGAAGTGCTCGGCCTCAGGTTGACATGTCGGCTTCTTGTACAGATGCTTCGATGATGTCTACCATAAACGAATTAAATTCTAATTACATGCCCAGACATCGTCGAAGCATCTGCACAAGAAGCCGACAAGTCAACCTGAGACCGAGCACTTCAGTCCAACCAATCGACGGGAAAATCTAAAATTCAATTCAATAATTAATATGACCCGTTGCACAAGTGGTGGCTCTCGTAGCCCAAGTGGTCTAGTGGATAACGCTTTGGCGTTTGAAACTATGGTCACTGGGTTCGAGCCTCGGTGGGAACATCATCACTCACTGGGGAATGAAGGTACATACAGATGACGAGCCCCAAACGGGACGAAATGCGTATCCTGGATTTCAATGCTAGTTACCATACACCAATTAGCTTCTGAATTTTGCTGTGATTTACACAAACCCTGCCTACTTTAGTAGTCAGTCCTAAGCCCAGAAAAAGAGAGAAGGTTGGGCGTGGGGCTAGTGACCCTACACCCTGGAAAATAAACCCTATCGCTACCAACTACCTTGTCAAACCAACAAGGATTTGCAAAAATAAACTAGTGTGAAATCATGCTCCTATCCACTCCAGCGAAAATATTAGGCTATATCATTCTGAAGAGAATGAAAGATGTTCTGGATGCCTCGAACAAGCTGGAAAAGCAAATCACTTGCGAAACAAATAGCAATGCTACACATTATCAATGAACAGAGCAAAAAATGAGAGTTAGATCCCTATCTCAATTTTATCCGATAACCGAATTGACCCCGATCTAGTAGTTTGACCTATGTAATTGACTTCGTAGTCATTGCATGGTATTTCTTAAATTATATCATTATTTATATTCAAGTGTTGGTTTGCAGGAATTTTATTGGTTTCAGGACTCCAAGAAGAACTGCCATCGGTCAGAGAACCATTGGAAAACCTGGAAGTACTGGAAAGCCGTTTAGTTCTAGTTTGGGACAATCGTCATGTACTCCCAGGTTTGTCAATGGTCCTCATACCGATGTGAGTTCATGATGAAATCCTGAAAAATATCACTTTTCTTAATTCGATCCGTCAGACCCTTAAGCCGACAGCGTTTGTCACTGAGTGAATTGGTTAGTTTGAATACCAGCTTAATTCCAGGCTAATTAACAACCTAAAGTACGGCTTCTGATGCACCTTGTTCATGTATCAGGTTTCGAATCCCCTATCATTTACGTAATTTTCATTAATTACACTATAACTCTGATTTTCCATAAAGGCCTTCATATGAATAACTGGTTTCTACATAGGAATTTGCACATAACTGCAGCACAGCTCGAGTTCTCACACTCCACTTAACATACAAAGAAAGACAAAACGTAGAAAATGAGAGATTCCAGAGAACAATTACAAGCAGAAATGTAAGGGAGAAATAATAGTAACACGGAAAACAACAGGCTTTTGTTGGACACGACTAATCACAAAGAGTGAGTGGATCTGCGCTATTCATTGAGAACAAATTTGAGCCATATCACCAATTGTCTCTATCCTTCATTGGTTCTTACCATCCCGAGGACCCCAAACAGGAAGTCCACACCTCCCGACGTGGCTGGCTTAAACTAACTGTTATCGATTTGATTGACTGATGAGGCCATGTTTTGGTTTGACCGCCACTACCACTACCTCTTTTCGAACCTGATCTTATGTCAGCTAACCTTGCCCATTGTTGAGGAAGACGATGGCTAGGCATAAGTAAAACATGTCCTAACCATCTTAGTCGATGTAACTTCACAACCTCGTCGATTGATTTCCCCTGTTTACCTAGAACTCGACCGATGCCTAACCTCAATATTGCTCACCTTATTATGCCACTTTACACGGGAGATAGAACGCAGGCACCCGCGATCAAAGACAGCTAATCTGTTCATGTCTTCCACTCTCAGTGGCTAGGTCTCGCTCACAGCCATAAAGAAGGTCGAAGCGCAAAGATGAGCAGTACACCCACCCTTTGGTCGATAGTTGAATATCTCGTCTACTCTAGAGATGGCGTAAACTGGCATATGCAAAACTAGCCCTCTGTATCCGTACCCAGCTGAGATTTCGTCAGAGATCAACCCGTTGGGGCTGATGGTACTCCCCAAGTAAGTGAAGCAGTCAACACGCTCTACCACTAGACTCCCTATTTCTAAACTAGGAGCCAGTGTAGTCCAGTCCTGTAAAATTATCTTATATTTGACACCAGGAGCGAATCGCATGCCAAACATTCGTAGATTGCAGCTCAAGGTGTTCAGAAGACTCTGCACTTTGTCAGCGTCTTCACCCAGGTGGGAGGACTATATCGTCTGCATATTCTAGGTCAACGAGATTATTCCCTGGTAGGAAGTCAATCCCTGATTTGCTTAAGTCAGTTAGAGTTAAGTCCATTAGTATATCAATGATGAAGTTGAATAGAAATGGGGATAATGGGCATCCCTGACGGACACCACTAGTCGTCACCACTTCAGATGACAATTCGCCGTAAACCCTCACCTTGGATGAGTTTGAGTAGAGTTCGTTGATCACTGCAATGTATTTTCTCGGGATTCCCTTTACATCCAAGCATCTCCAGAGTAGACATTTATAAAAAATTATATTTGTAAAATCTCAGCGATATTGAAATGAGTAATTCCAACGTTTCGTTCTCACTCGGCGCCCAAATATTTTAGAACTATTCTGTCAAATCTTGACTACAGTTCATTTGACATCTCCAGAGTACCTTTCGGTCGACAGAATCGAATTCCGCCTTCAGGTCAAGGAATATAATCAGTGTTGGATGCCGGTAGGAATGACTATGTTCTGGAATCTATCGGAGGGTGAAGATATGATCAATACACCCTCTTCCTGGTCTATAGCCTGTCTAGCTCTCTCGTGTTTGTGCCTCCCGAGCACCACTCAGTCTACGCATGATTATTGGGCCTAGAAATTTAGATACTACATTAGTCAAGCTAATCCCTCTGTGATTATCACAGGAAGACGTCTCTCTTCTTGTATATCGAGATAATCAGTGACTCACACCAACCCAATGGGACTTCTTCTGATTCCAAGACGCTGCCTAGAACCTCAGTTAATGCAGACAGTAAACTGTCTCCACCGTACTTAAATACCTCTGGAGTCATTCCATCAGGTCCCGCTGCTTTGCCTACTTTCAGATTGGTGACAGCTTTAGTAACCTCAGTTAGGGACGGAGGACCTGTCTTTATCCCATTCAGGGAGGTTTTGGATGTTCGGCAGGTTGAGCGTGGCTGTAGGCCAATTAAACTGCTCCTCATAGTGCTCTTTTCAGCGTTCCAGTCGTCTATCCTGAGAGCTAATTAAGGAGCCATTTTTCTCCGAGATTGTTTCACCTATGATTTGCCTTCTCCCACCCGTTTCCCTGATGAGTCTAAAGAGTTGCCTAGTGTTGTCTATCGCCGATGCTTTCTCCATCTCTTTCGCCTTTGTGACCCACCACTGTTCACGGTCCTTGCGGAGACTGGTTCTATTCATGTACTAGTGTCTATTGAGAACTAGCACATTCTAATAAATGCTTTGATTCATCTCCGCCCCAGAATCAGTAAAGTTATTTTTTTTAGTAAGGTCTAGCTAGTAATTCGGAAGATATAAATTTTGAAATCAAACAATTAAAGAATAGATTACTGATGAGGACTGCCCACAAGATTTGATTCAACAGTACATGAAGACCTACTTGGAAGGGACTCTTTGACAAACAATTTAACTAGCCTACAGTCACGCTTAAATTGCCGAGTACCCAACACCTCCCTAAATGAGATACAGACACCGATCCTCCGTCCCTAACTAAGGCTATAAAAGCTGTCTCTGATCTGGAACGAGGCGAAATAGCGAGACCTAATGGGATGACTCCAGGTAATCAAGAATGGTGGAAACAGTTTACTGTCTGCGTTAACTAAGGTATTAAGCAGAGTCTGAGAATCAGAGGAAGTCCCGTTGGGTAGGTGTAAGTCATTGGTTATCTCGATATACAAGAAGGGAGACAAGTCTTCCTGTGATAATCACAGAGGGATTAGTGACTAATATGGTATCTAATGTTCTAGACTCAATAACAATGTGCAGACTACGCGGTGCATGGGAGGAACAAACACGACAGAACCAGGCAGGCTTTAGACCAGGAAGAGAGTGTATTGGTCATATATTCAGCCTTCGACAGATTCTGGAACATAAGTATACTTAACGGCACCCAACAACAGCCATTTTTACTGACCCGACCGAAAGCTGCTACCTTGACGTGGTGGTCGGGCTTGAACACCTCAATGATCTATTCAAGCTATACTGGCTGAGACTTATGTCTCTTCAGGTTCTACCATGCCAGGCAGGTTGTTTGGATAGCGATTAAACAAAAAGCAGCTATCCAATCCAACATCATGATAAATACAAAATCACAAAATTTCATGCCGGATCGGCCGTGGCCCGGATTAACAACGACCGCGCTTCCTGCTGGCGTGTCACAGGGCAGGAGTGATAAATATGCTACTGAGACACACCAAACAATAAAGAACAAACAAAAACAGGCCGCGTGTGACCGGCCTCAAGCAGTTG